GCCCTCGGTTGTAGCCCTGACCCCAGCAGTGTTTTTTTTCCGAGTCTTTCCTACCCCCTGTGCCACAATCAACAGTTTCCCAACCATGGGAGCACCCTCGGAGCGGGACCGTGTTGCTGAGGGGAGTTTCGGAGGGGGGCCAGATGTGATCCATGCGCAAGGGCAGGACCCAGTTGTGCCACGGGGATGTGCTAGCACCCATGGACAACTTCCCTGGGACTGGGGATGGGTGTCCCAAGCTGTCCCCAGCCACGCCTGGGCCTTCTGCATCCCCCTCTTGTGTCACCCAGCTGAGGTCAGAGGTGGTTTTTAGCAGATGCCCGAGGACAAGGGTGGCTGGGGGGTGCAGCTGCCACCACGCTGGTCTCTCTCTCCCAGGAGAACCACAAGCTGTACAAGCAGAAGCTCGAGGAGCTGACCAAGCTGCAGGACGGGATCTCCAGCTCCATCGCACGGCAGAAGAAGCGGCTGAAGGAGCTGTCCTTGTCCCTCAGGAAGTGAGTTGGTGTCCTGCGATGGCGCGGGGCGGGCGAGCGGCGAGGACGGGGCTGCTGGTGCCATCCCCCGGCTCGTGCTGCGTTCCTGTGGCCTCGCCGGCTGCAGACGGAGCCGGGGACTTGCATCCAGCCCCTCTCCCCTGTCCTTGGGGTGTCCTTGTGTGAGGCAGCCCTGCACTGTGCTGACAGCGTCACAGAGGCTGTCCTGATGCCGGCGCCTCTGATTCCTCCCCAGATGCAAGGCCCACGTCAGCCCCGAGCAGGAGTCGTCCATCCAGGAGACCCAGAGCCTCATAAAAGAGAGGCAGAACGTTTTCTTCGAGATGGAGGCCTATCTGCCAAAGAAGAACGGGTAAGAGGCGCCTCGTCCCTGGGTCAAGCACCGGCTCCTCCTTCTGCATCCCTGCGAGGCACAGCCCTGTCACCCTGCTCCCGGTGGTGGCACAGCCCTGCTCGGGTTCCCCAGGGCCAGGCTGAGCCTCTGCGGCGCTGCCCTCGTCTCCCCTCGCTCACGGCCTCCCCCTGCCCTTGAGCGGAGGCCCAGGAGCCCCAGCAAACGTCCTTGTCCTTGGAAGGAGACGCCAAAGTGTCGGTGCCAGTCACGGCGCCTGGCAGCTCCTGGTGGGAAACAGCTGGGAGCTCTGTCCCGGCCTCCACGGTGGCACCGGAGGGGACGGCCCTGTCCCC